TTTTGTTCATTGATTTTTTGTATTATCTTTTGTCTCTATGTCCCTGGATTTGGGCTTTATTTGGTGATCTGGATTCATCTGCTGAAATTAAGGTTTTGTGGTCTTGCTTTTCCAGCTTCTTTAGGTGGCTTGTTAGGTTGTCAATTTCTGTTCCTTCCATTTTCCTCATGTGTGTTTGTAGGGATATAAATTCCCCTCTTATTACAGCTTTTAAGGCATCCCAGAGATTTTGGTAAGATGTTTCTTTATTTTCATTTGTTTCCAGGTATCTTTTGATCTCTATTTTGATGTCATCATTGACCCAGGAGTTATTTAGCATCATGCTGTTTAGTGTCCATGTCTTTGTGGGTTTTGGGGGGACTTTGTTGCTGTCAATGTTTATTTTTATTCCACTGTGGTCCGAGAAGGTGCATGGTAGAATTTCAGTCCTTTTAAATTTGCTTATACTTGATTTGTGTCCAATTATGTGGTCGATCTTAGAATATGTTCCATGTGGTGATGAGTAGAATGTGTATTCTGTGGTCTTTGGATGGAAATTTGCATTTTTTAATGACTAGAATAGTCAAAACAATCCTAAGCAAAAAAAAAAAAAAAAGTTGGAGGTATCACACTCCCAGACTTTAAACTTAATTATAAAGTTACAATAATCAAAACAAAACAGGCTAATATTGGTACAAGAACAGGCATGTAGACCAATGGAACAGGATAGAGACTCCAGAAGCAAAACTTCAATTTCTCAATTCCTCAACCAACTTATCACCACCAACTACTAGAGAGAGGAGAACCTATTCAGTAAATGGTACTGGGAAAACTGGCTGAATACATGCAGAAGAATAAAACAAGATCCATAGCTATCACCATACACAAAAGTTAACTCTAAATGGAACAAAGACCTAAACATAAAACCTCAAACTATAAGAACCTTAGAAAATATGGGAAACACCCTTATGGAAATTGGGACTGGCAACCAATTCCTTATCAAAAGCCAAGTGCTCATGCCATAAGAGATAAGATAGACAAGTGGAACCTCAACAAACTGACAAGCTTCTGCAAAGCCAAAGAAACCATCAAAAGAGCAGGGAGACAGACCCCGGGCTGGGAAAAAATATTTGCCAACTGTATATCTGACAAATGCCTAATATCTAGGATCTATAAGGAACTCAAATGTGCCAAAAAGAAAAAAACAAACAGCCCCATTGCAACGAGGGCAAAAGATATGAACAGGCACTTCTCAAAAGAAGACATACGAGCAGCCTACAGATACATAAAAAAATACTCAGCAGCATTAAACTTTTTAAATTTCTTCTTTTCTCTAGAGCTCCTTACACATTTTATCTCTCTTCTCAAAACCTCAAATCTAATTCTCATAGCTGGCTCCTGATCTGACACTAGAACAGATTTTGGCTTCCTCTTTACCTCTGTTAGCATTCTGCTAACTTAAACTCATTTTTTGAGGTACAGGAGGCTCTCTAAATTGACAGGGGATACATTCCAAGGTCACTGATAGGAGCCTTAAACCTCAGATAGTACCAAACCCTATATACACTATATTTTATCCTACATAAAAATACTTATGAAGAAATTTAATTTATAAATTAGGACTAGTAAGAGATGAACAATAATAACTAATAATAAAATATAGTAATTATTAATATGCTATAAAGTTAACAAATGTGGAAATGTGGTCTGCTGGAGTCCAGCTCCAGGAGAGAGTCAGGGCTTGAGACAGGGGAATCGGGAAGTGGCGAAAAAGAAAAGATGAACACGACCGGATCCTTCTTCCTGAGGAGAGTCCAAGACTCTGCCAGTTTTTATTCAACTCTTACAAGCTTATTTAGTTTTTTACTGACTCCTCTACCCACAAAATGTTACACATTAAATGTTTACATCATGTTTTCTCTTTTGTTTATGGGGAAGTTGACCTTTACAAGTTTCATTTTGTTCCTTCCTGCTACCAGTGGTGTAACAAAATATCAGCTGCCAATTTATCAGCCACATCCTGTGACCTTTAGGCCAACTGAATCTCTTCCCTTCACTCTTCTATTTCTTTTCTTTTACTAATCTATTTTTTTAATTCTACCCATTTTACATTTTATATTTTTAAACAAAACATGTCTAAATCTCCACTTATATATAAAATTAATCTTACTTCTAATCCTAAATGTATTTAATTTTAAACCTACAGTAAGTGTATATAATTTTAAGTTTACCTTAAAACTTAATTATTTTTTATTTTTTTTATTTAAGTAATACCTATATCTATAATAAACATTAACCTTTTAATTATAACTGTCATTTATCTAATCCTTATTTTAATTGTAACCCTCTAATTAAACTATAATATTTCTTAAATCAAAAGGCATGTCTGTGACTTGTTTTTCCCCAAAACACCTGTTTGTGGAGATACTCTGTCTCAGTTTCCCACTTCCTCATCAATCACAACTGTCAATGTTGTTACTTATAAAGGATACGAGGAAGTACTTGTTTTTCCTTTTTAGCTAAAGGTTTCAAAATTTGCATTCCCTTGTCCCTTCAGGGGAGAAATTTTCACTGTTGAGCCTTTTTTACATTTTTATACTTAGGTTTATCGCTAATTCCACATCCTTGCACATTCTAAGGGGCACCCTTTTTGCTGCAATATCACCTCCATTATGCCTATGTATAATTTTTGCTGTCAAAAGCCATCATCCATTTGCGCATCTATTATCTCAACTAAAGAGGGAATATTCTCAAGCCTATGCATGCAATCCTTCAAAGTTAGGGAAGGTCCATCAACAGGATCCATGGGGCTTTGCCTCCGTCATGGCCGCATTTTACTGGGGCCTTGCTCCCAGCCGGCATTTTTCCTGTTTTCATGTCCCTTTTACCTTACTTTTACTAGTGATTGCAGCTCCCGGCAGTGGTCTTTCTCTTCCTCTGTCTCAAAATATCTTACTGTACTGTATTTACTCTTCTAGTGAGGGTATGAGATGATACAGCACCTACATGATGAGATAAAGTGAGGTGAATGACAACGTAGTCATGGTGACATAACCTTAAGCTACCCCTGATCTCCTATATCCCTGTGTAACCATACTTTACTTGCAGTAAATTGGTTGTTGCTCATTTCAGAGGATCCTTTGCTGAAGTCTTCTATAGGTTCAATGCTTTCTGGTACAACACATTTTTGTTTATGTCTTTCACCCACGAATGTAATACCTTTTCTATTTTAACTTAAGTACTCATGCACTGTGACTAACTTTTGGAGTTTGAGGTGCGACAGCAAAAATAAATGTAATTTTAGTCTTACCTCTGCACAATGTCTCAGATAGGGTTTGTTCTTTCTCTAGGTTTTAACAAACTCCGTCTACAATCTTATTTTATTATTAAGTCAAAACCTTTTATATTTTCACTTAAAGGAAGAACTTTACAACTTCTCTTCAGCATATCTGGATTGCCAGCACCACTGTCTTGAGCTTTGGTGCCATTATTAAGTAAAATCACATTTACCTGAATACAAGCGCTGCTATTCTGTGACAGTTGACCTGATAACTGAGATGGTTACTAGGTGACTGATGGATACGTAATGGAGACAGCATGGATACACTGGACAAAAGGATGATTCATGTCTCCAGAGGGATGAAGCAGGATGGCACAAGATTTTTATCATGCTACTCAATGGCACAAAATTTAAAACTTAGAAGTTTTTTGTTTCTAGAATTTTCTATATAATATTTTCAGACTGTGGTTGACTACAGGTAACTGAAACTGTGGAAATTGAAACCATAAATAAGGGAGGGGTTACTCTACAAATCACTCAAATTCTTAATGGCTCTTTGATTCCTGCCCTAGTACAGTATTCCTTGTTGATTCCTGTTTTAATTAATATGGTAGACATTTCATTAAGTTCACAAGAACTCCAATTAAAAACAACAGCACCAACAACAGAAAACCAATAATACAAAATCAGTAGTTAATTTTTTTTTAGATTAGAAAATATAGTTTATTTAGAAAGTAAATTAGAGACAGAATTCACCTCCCCAAGGTGGGGGCAGAGGGCAAAGTTTAGTAAAACATAGGGGCAGCCATAGCTCAAAGAACACATGGCCAGGTCATAGCTTAGCAAGACAATGGCCAGTTAATTTTTTAAAAACAAATAAGTTTTGGTGCCTGGTAAAATTGTGAAACAAGGTAAAGTTGTCCTTTGTTTTTATCTGGTAAACAAGTTCTTCATATTTTCCTTCATATTTTAGTATTATAAAAACTACTTGTACTGTGTAGTATTTACATTGAGGTTGAAAGAACAGATCTTAATGAATTGTTCCATCTCATGCAGTGCTAAGTATGAAAAGACTAATAATATACTCAGGGATTGTTTTATTAGTCTAAATGCTTTAGCAAAAGTTCAGATTGCATTTAAACCCAGTTTTTAATGGGTCAGGTATTACTAGATTAATACCCCTTTTGAGTGAACAGAACCTTGCAAGGAGATAGAGAAAGGGCTAGTTACTATATCCATGCCCTGCTGGAACTTATATTTTTATCTCTTGCTTAGGGTTTCTGTGTCTTTACTCCTATAACCTGATGATGATATTTAGACAAATGATAAGCCCATGGATATTGATTTGCATAATTCAAGTTTCTAATGAAATCATGGCTAAATTGGGAAATGTTCAATTGTTTGAGTTTAGGTGACCCAAGAGATTTAAAGTGGACATAAATTAAAGCAAACATGGCATCCATATGTTAGAAAATTAGCTCCAGATATGCTTATATAAAAGCCTCTAGGTCAGAGATAATAAAAAAAATTGACCTCATTTTATTATACATGTAAGTAATAGCTATAAAGAAAGATAGAAATGTTAGCTTATATGTTTAATTATTTATTTCAAAGGTTCATAGGTCCTAGTTCTACTTCTATACCTCTCTGCAGTGGTGCACAGGTAACTTCTTTGTTCAGAGGTATGTCTTCCTTTTCAATATTTGTCAAGCAGCCTCTTGATGCAGCAAACTTTATTTGGCAAGAAACATGAGTCAATTCGCCTTTCACTTCTATGACAGTCTTTTTTACAGCGACCATTAAGTTTTATGCAACGATCAGCATCCATCAAGGTACATGTGACTATAGTAAAAGAAGAGTTACTGAAATTACTGATCTCTTATTTAAGCATTTATGACTTCTGATTATGTAAAATACATTATGTACATGATATCCAATTTAGAACATACCCAAAAAATATAAATACACTAAAAATATTCCATACCTCTATGTATATATATATAAAATTGAAATTTGTTTTTAATTCATATACAGTTTTATGCCATATATTATCCTCCTCAATAAGATTCAAGAATTTTTAGTTACATGACAATTTATGCAGGCTTTCACCTATTTCTGGACAATCAAGTCAGATCTAAAATTTTAATACTTAGGATTTTGATACACAAATATATCTTATACCTTTTAATATTTATATGATATATGCTTGGAGAAAGTTGAAAAAGAATTTGATTCCAGAGTTCTAGTACTGCCACCAACAATGTATGTAACTTTTTGTCCTAAATAAAATGAAATTAATTGCAATTTTAATTTTTGTCTTTATTTATTTATGTTTACTTTATTTCCTTTTGTTAAATTAATTATTTATATACTTTGTTGAGCATGCTATTGAGATAATTTTTTTAATATAATAAATCCAGAATTTTAAAACTATTTTATGGATAATAATTTTTATGTGTCATATTTATTACAGATTATTCTTCCTTGGTTGTTTTTTGTTTTGTTAGTTTTAGATTTTAGGGAGTAACAGTTTTACAATATAAATACATATTCAATTTTTAAAAATGTAAACAGTCATAATTTTGATATACAGAAATGTATAAAGTCACCATGTAGTATTCGATCTTTACAACAAGATACTCTTGCATATAATTTTTTCATTATAATATTTTGTTTATTATAATATTTTTCTCTTTATATTAATTGTAATTGTCAGATATGTAGTAACTTCATTTCACTTCTTCTAAATGATTAAATAATTATTCTATAATATTTATTTTAAAATTATTCATGCTTTGAAATAATTTTCATGGTATTGTTAATTAATGTTATATTCTAAATCTCACAAACTCTATCTTTTTCTATCAAGCATTTTGCAAATATAGCTATAGATTTTAGAAACAGAAGCAAACAGCTTAAATTAGCAAAGTGTATAATAGAAAAATGCTACAGTATGTTATTTTTTATTTCTTCATACATTAACTTAAAAAAAAGAAAAGAAACTTGAGGAAGAATATCCCAACAAAGTACTTAGTTAAGAGCATTATTAAACATTAAACACATGTAAACATTGCCCAAGTCAAGAAATAGTACATTGCTATCACGGTATTTGTGCCTCCTCACAATCACTATTCCTTATCACTCCTTCATTTCCAAAATAAACCATTATTGGGACTTATTTTTTTTCTGCTCATTTTGAAACTTTATGTGAATGCAACAGTTCAGGTCATTTTTTTAACACCTCATTTTATTCACACAAAACTTTGTTGTTTTTGAATTTGTCCATATTTTATGAACTTGAAATTTCTCCATTTTAATTATCATATAATAATGTTATATACATGTGTTACATTTTAGATTTATATACTGATGAATATTTAAATTGTTTTCAGTGTATAAACTGTGTCTGACTCTTGAGGCACATGCCTAGATACTTCTGTTGAGCAAATCCATAAGGATGAAATACATCGGCAATACGCCTGCATTTCTTTAACTTCAGTAGATAATGACAAACATCTTTTCAAATCACTGTACTAATTTTAACTTATAGCAGCAATATATAACAGTTTCAGACATGTAAAACCTAATCAATGCTTGAATTTTTAATATAGTAATTCTAATGAAATGTAATGCTACCTTGTACATATCATCTTATTTTATATTTAGTAATAAAATTTTTCTGATTACTGAGGAAGTATAACATCTTTTCTTATGATTTCTGACCCAATAGATGTCTATTGTTTAGAAAGTAATCAATCTTTGCCTTTATTCTATAATGTATCTTTTTAATGTATCTTATATATGTTCTTTTAACACTCAAGTTATGATTGCTTTATAAGATAAATATATTGCAAATATTTTTTCTCAATATGGAGATTGCCTTTTTTACTTAATGATGTTTTTGATTTACAAAACTTTTCTAATTTTAATACAGTCAATGCTGTTGTTTTCTACTCAAAAAGAAATACTACTTTTTGTATGCCAAGATCATTAGTAAATTCTCGAACATCAACTTACATGTTTTATTGTTTTGCCTTTCCATGTTTGCAACTACAGGTCATTTGGAATTGAGTTTTTTTCATGATAAAAGGCAATATTTCAATTGCAAATTTCATGTTTTCTTCTTATGGCTATTGAATAAACCCACTCTGTTTATTTAGAAGTTTATTTGCCACATTGTTTTGCAGTACTACAGTGTCATCTTTATTTATTTCTGAATTCTCTATTCTGCTCCACTGATACATTTTTTTCCTTTCAATATAACACTGTCTTGTGCAAGTTCTTCCACATTAATTTTCCTTTGATAATATTTTGATTATTATTCAGTGCTTTAGATTTCCATACAAATTCCAAAATCACTATGTCAGTCTTCACAAACAAAGCAATACCTTTTATGATGTAATTATGAATCAATTTAAGAAATATTGATATTGACATGGACAGCTTTACAGCAATGTATCCTCCAATCCATTAATATAACATAGCCTTCTCTGTATTTGTCTTTTTTAGTCTCTCAGTATTTTTTAACTCTGTGGGTAGTCATCTTATACATTTTTCTTTAGAATTATTCCTTTAGAGTTGATATTTTAATGCTATTCTAAAAGGTAATGAATATATAATATAATTTTCTTCTAGGTCTTAATACATAGAATTCTAATTGATCTTTATATTGATTTTGTATTCAACAATCTTGCTAACTCACTAATTATTTTAACTTAACTGAGAATTCTTATGCTTTTTCTACATACTCTATCATGAAAACTGAATAATGATAGTTTTTCTTCTATTTACATATTTTAAAAACATAACTTATTATTTTCTTAGTGCACTGGTTAGGATTCTATTGCAATGTTAATTGAAATTAGTGATACTATGCACTCTTATTTTATTTCTGATCTCTAAGTGAATATTTAAATTATGTTGTCCTTTATTAGCATGTGTAATGGATAGTTTTGTAAAGATAAATTTAATTAGATGCAATAATTTAATTCTATTTATTATTAATTTTTTGAGAATTTTTAAAAATAAAAAAATTACCAAAATAATATTTATCTATTGAATTGATTACATATACTTTCTTCTGTAATGGTTTCATGAAGTAGCATTGATTTTAGAATATTATGCTAAACTTGAAAGGTAGCAATTAAAACAAACTTGTGTTATTATGAGCTTTAATTCTAGTTTTGTGTTTGTTTTGTTTTGCTTTTAAGTATTTTTGCATCTATATTAACTAGTGAAACTCACCTTTAGTTTTCTTTCTTGTTGTATTTAAACTACTGATCAGTTTTAATACTAGGTATTGTTGATCTCATAAAATAAGTTAGAAGCATTCTTTCATGTCCTATTCTCTAGAAAAATTAGTGTATAATTGGTTTTGTTTCTTTTATGTTTAGAATTAAACAGTGAAACTATCTTTGCTAGGTGTTTTCTTTATAGGATCTTAATTATTATGAATTTTATTCCCATTGTGGATTTAGAAGCGTTTAGATTTCTATTTCTACTTTTTGTAGTTGTTCTTTGTTATGATGCATTTTCTCAGAAATTATTTAATGCTTATAAATTTTTGAGTTTATCATCCTGAAGTTGTTAATAACATTCCTACAAGAACATTTTGATATCTGTAGCATATATGCTAATATCTCTGATAAAGTTTCTTTTGTTATTGCTGTTTTTTCTTTACAGTTTTGTTAAAGCTTTTTAAATTTATTAATCTTTTTCAAAAGCAAAATGTGGCCCTTGTGATTTTCTCTAGTGTCTGTTTCTAGTTATGTCTTATTATATACTTGTTACTGTGGGTTTAACTTGATTTTATTTTTCTAACTTTATCAGTTAAATTTTTAGTTACATTTTTAAACTTAACTCATTTTAGATATATGGATATAACTATGAATTTCCTTGAAAACATTACTATAAACTTTGATTCATCTCTTTTTTATTACCATTCAGTTCCAAATTTTTTCAATATTTATTGAGATTTCTTCTTGGAGTTAATGTTTTGCTAATGATCTTGTTTAAATATTCTGTGTTCTTACTTTTGTGTTGTTTCTTTTGCTCTGTTTTCTCTGTAACTGAGTAAGGTTATTATCATCTCCCACTATTATTATGGAGTTCTTTATTTTTTTAGTAAGTTTTTTGGTAATTTTTTATATGTGTTTCCCAAGTAACCAAATTTCCTTGATGAGTGAAGGAAATTTTATCACCTTAGTTACTGTAATTTTAATCTTAGTAAACTCTACAAGACAAAAACCAATATTGGCCTCTTGCCAACATTTCATCATAGGTGAATATCTCTCCTATGCTATTCTTAATTTAGCCTTCCATTCACCAAGCAACATAATATCCTGTACAGTTACTCAAGTCACCATGGTTCTGCTATTTGAAATTCATAGCCTATTATGAGACATCTTAAGAAGTTGTTATACCTGGACTACCATATCTCTGTTACTTTCTCTCCTTTTCTTCTATTCTCTATACTTCTATTCATTCTTCCTCATTTCTTGAAATATTGAAATATGATGTTCAATGTGAGAAACACTTTTTTTAATCTTTACAAAACTTTATGAAATTAATAACATCATCCATTGTACAGTTAAGAGAACTAAAGCTTTCTTCATAGCTACAAAGAAAACACAGTTCCTCAAAATACACTCTGATCTCTGGAATGGCAAGCTCACTCCATAAACGATAGTATGCTGTCTTCACTATATGAATTATATTATATTTGTATTTCCTTTAAATGACTGCTCATTTCTCCATGTTTTATGCATTATCAGCATTAGCTTCAGTACATTTTCTACAATTGGACTCTCCAGTATGATATTCCCTGTTTGAACCAAACACTTCTCTTACATTCTCACAAGGCATATACTTAGAGTGGGTTTTTTGTCCTACTTATATATACTACTCTATGAATTTCTTCAAAACCAGCCACTCTGATACCTTATACTACCCTTTTTGTTTTCTCGGTCTATTCAAAGGCCAAATATAGAGCACTTTGTCCCTTCCAGTGGACATTATAACTTAGTATCTTTTGGATGATCAAAGGGTAAAATAAAGCCTGTGGTTAAACTTTTCTTAGCCCAGGCGTCTTCAAAGCCTTATTTAAAGCTTTCTGCAGTGCTCAGCAAATGTAGAGTTTGATGATGTACAGACTGTATACATCTGATGTGGGTGGTTTCCTTCTTGAGTGAACTTGCTGCTTTTGACCAATATATCTATTCAGTAGGTTTGTTAAACTTAGTGTCATCTATAGAAAGCATTGCGATAAAGTAGAAAGAACAAATATGCTGAGATCTGAAAATCTTGTATTTGTATTCCACTTATGACAAATCGTAATATAGGCGTGGCATTGAAAAATTTTCTCCTTTAATGTAACTTTCCTTTTCTATTAAAGAGGTCATAACAGTCATTTTCCAATGTTATTTGGGAGGTCAGATTGCATACCTACATGAAAAACTACGGAATGGTGTTTGGCATATGCCAGACATTCATATTTACTTCTTGTCTTGCTTTCTTTTACTCTCCAAGGTCCAAATACAAGTCTCTTACTCTAAATTTCAAAGCTCTTCATCAGAATTTAAGACATTTCCCAAACTTCAATTATTGCTATAATTCCACTATTCTTACCATTTAAACATACTTACATAGACCTTCTAAATTATATCCTTTCAGTAATTTATCTGAGTTTATTCAAGTAGCTTGCAAGTATGCTTAGAGAATTACTTGTTTTTCCTAATAAAACCTAAGTTGGTAATATAATTTTTAGTTTGTAAGGCTACTTTCCAACACAATATGTCACTAAATCCAACAGGAGTCTTTTGAGGTTACAAACAGACAATCAATTATGAGCAGTTTTTAATTTTTAAAAAGTGTATTATTACTGAGTGTGCTTATGTTTTCTTTTAAGAACATTGACAAATCAGCTAAATTCTCTGAGTGGCAAAGTTCATAAAGCTATTAAGTAGTGAACTAGTAGTAAAATCTAGATCTTCTGAGTTTGAGTGTAGTTTTATTTCTTTCTAGAGCCAAACTGTAAGTCAAATAGATACAAATTTACATTGTCACTGTGGGAGAGTCCAGATTGCTTCAGTGGCTATACCTTTCAAGAATATAATATGACAACCCCCAAGGGACTCATTGTACATATTTTTCTTTTTTTTTTTTTTTGATCATATCTTAAGGGCATTGGTGTATTCTTTTACCAGTACAATGACTAACTTGACAAGGATGTTTGAGCCCTTTGATTCCTACATTGCCTCATTGCCCAACATACTTTGAGGCTTCATCTTGGATTATTTTATAGATTCTTTTATTGATATTCCAAGAGATATACACTGGTTTTCCTCAGTCCATTCATCTTTCCTGGATGAATTATTATTAAGACTTTCACTTCTGAATCATATCAATAAATTTAATATGGGCTGCCTAGCTTCTCTGTAAGCTCTAGTCCCCTCCCCAGTCTGGGGAGGTAGATGCCTCTTTTCTCTCTTTCTCTAATCTACTTTCTAAATAAACTATATTTTCCAATCTAAAAAAAATTAATGGTTTTCTCAATCATTTAAATATCTGAAATGCAAACTTAAAGTTCAAAAAAGATAAGTATCTTAAGCTTCATTATCTCATTTATCTGCATATTAATTTTGAAAATGAGGTGGGTAAAATACTGTAGTATAATAAGATTCTCAATGAGGAAATCAAGATTCAATATAATCAAGACATTTCTTTAATTGATAAAATAGTTTTAAAAGCTGCATTTTTCAATTAATAATCTAGAATTTCTGTCTCTAGTTAAAAGCTATATGTTAGAAATAGACCAGAAACATCCATTTTTACCTGGTAGAATGAGGGTCACAAAACACAGAAAACGAAGGAAATAGTAAAAGGTCTTCATTCTGTAGAAAGAAGCTGTTGAAATGTTTGGTAAAAGAATCTAGAGACTAGAACACTTTCCAAAAAACCAAGAGATGCTTACTATTTATAGTTTCCTAACAGAAGAGAAACTCTCTTTATGTGGAAATTGTTTTAATTTTGTGTACCTGTCTCTGCTCCAATGACTAGGACTGTGGGCAGAATTACCCAAATTGAAAACACTTGAAAGTAATTGAGGTTTAGGAAGGAATCTTATGTGAATGATAGCGTAAACATGGCATCATCATATCAGTGGTGAGCAACACTAAGGGGTATGTATGGAATGTGTTTTAAAAAAATATTAATTTGCCATTTCAGATACAAAACAATGATCATTGTTCATTGAAATACTAATTACTTTTCAACATTTATTTTAGTTACTAAACTGGTATGTAAATTTATGAATATGTCCATATTTTAAAAATCCCTAGTTATATCTATAATCCCATTACTTTCCTCCCAAATTATTATTTCATGAACTTCTCCCAAATTATTCATGTACAAGACCCAAATGTTGAGCCTCACTTTTATCACTTATTATTGTTGTTATTATTATTATTATTGATTATTATTATTTGAGTCATGGTCTCAGTTTGTCTCCCAGGCTGGAGGAGTGCAGTGACACGATCACGGCTCACCACAGACTTGACCTCCTAGGCTTATGCAATCCTTCTGCTTCAACCTCCCAAGTAACTGGGACTACAAGCACATGACACCATGCCCAGCTAATTTTTTATACAGACGTGGTCTTGCTGTGTTGCCCAGAGAGGTTTTGAATTTCTGGACTCAAGGAATTCTCTTGCCTTGGCCTACCACAGTGCTGGGATTATAGGCGTGAACCACTTTGCCTGGCCATCTTGTCATTAATTTATGTTACTCTTTACTACTTACGTTGATATATATTATGGTCTGTTTCTGATATATATTATGGTGTGTTTCATTGATCTACGTTTTTCTTCTTTATGCCAATGCAAAATTCTATTGATTACTATAATTTTATACTAAAATCTGAATTCAAGTACTGTAAACTTTACAACTTAGTTCTAAAACCTTCAAATTGTTGTGGCTATTTTTAGTTCTTACTTAATATCCATATACATTTTGAGTAAGGTTGTCAATAACTATTTAAAAAGCTTGCTGGAATTTTGATTGAGATTCTGTTGAATATGTAGATAAGTTTGATGAGATTTGACATTTTAACAACATTTCCAATATATAACTAAGTTTTATCCCTTCATTATTTAGGTTTCTTTAATTTTTCTCAGCAATGTCATTTTCAGTGTGTAGAGAGGCCGTGTGTGTTTGTGTGTGTATCCTTTTAACTATGTTATTATTTTGAATGCTTTTATATATAGAATTTTTAAAATTTCATTTCTAAGTATTTATTGCTAATGTGCAGAAATATAATTGGTTTTATACTGATCTTGTATCAATAATCTTGCAAATTCAATTATTAGTCCTAATATCTTTATTTTTAGATTTTTAGGATTTGCTACAGAGATAATCATGTTGTTCTAAGTAAATATACTTTCTTTCTTATTTCTTTCCAATACCTTATTTATTCTTCTTGCTGCACATTCTAGGATTCTCTTTGAATGCTGAATCAAAGTGGGGAGAATGAATATCCTGCCTTGTATATTCATTTTGATCTTTGACCATAAGAATTAGACTAGCTCTAGGCCATGTTTTGCTAAGCTATGATCTGACCCTGTGGCTCCTTGAGCCATGATCTCCATGTTTCCTAGCTTTGACTCCTTCCTCTACCTTGGGGGGGGGTAATCTCCTCTCTCTCTCTCTCTCTCTCTCTCTCTCTCTCTCTCTCTTTCTCTCTCCATTCGCCATTGCTTTGTTCCTGGAGCCCTGAAGCTCCTTTAGTCATAAATGCATGGGCTACCCTTCGGCCCCTTCCCTACCTCGAGAAGGTGAATCTCCTCTCTCTCTCTCTCTCTCTCCCCTCACCCCCGACTTGCCATTGCTTTGTTAAACTCTAGTGTGTTCACATGGCTCCTTGAGCTATGGTCACCATGTTTCCTAACTTTAGTCCCCTACTTTACCTTGGGGAGGTAAATCTCCTCTCTGTCTCTCTCTCTCTCTCTCTCTCTCTCTCTCTCCCCCCAACTTACTTTCTAAATAAACTATATTTTCCAGTCTAAACAAAAAAGAATTAGGCTAACTCTAGGTTTTTGAGAACTGTATCTTATAAGGCTGAAGAAGTCTCCCTCTATTTCTACTTGCCAAGATTTTAAAAATATTTAATTTTATTTACTTACTTATTTTAGAGACAAGTTCTCATTCTGTTGCTGAGGCTGGAGTGCAGTTGTGTGACCAGAGCTCACTGCAATCTCAAATTCCTAGGCTTGAGGACTACTCCTGTCTCAGTTCCAAGTAAATGGAATTATAGACATGCACCACCACATCTGGCTAATTATTGTCATTTCTTTTTTAGAGATAGGGTCTCTTACTATGTTGCCCAAGCTAGACTTGAACTCTTATACAAATATTTTTTAAAAATTATAAACCAGTTTGTTATTATACCACTTTAAATACTTGTTTTTATATATTAAGATAATCAGTTTTTGCTTATTTCTTTTAATATAAGGAATTATGGTTATTGATTTCTGACTGTGAAACTAAATTTGCATTGTATTTGACAGGATTTTATTAAAAAGTTTTATGTTCATGAGGACTATTAATCTGTAGTTTTCTTGTAATTCCTTTTTCAAATATTGATATTAAGGTAATGATGGCATCCTAAAATAATTTGGGAAATGTTCTCTTCTATTTTATGTACTGAATTGTTTGTATATAACTTCATTATTAAATATTTGGTGGAATTCAACAGTGAAGCCATCTGTACCTATAATTTTCTATGTGGGAAAGTTTTTAAATATAAATAATTTTTTTAAATTGACTTAAAACTATTCAAGTTGCAAATATCTTCTGGCTGTATATGAGTAGTTTGTGTTATCTAAGGAAATTTTTCATTTCATATAAGTTGTAAAAGCATTGGCAAAATGTTGCTTGTTATATTTCCTTATTGTTCTTTTAATATCTGTTGCATATGTAGTTATTTCTCCTATTTCATTTCTAATATTGGTAATTTGTGTTTCCCTCTCCCTTTCTCTTTTAGAGAGAAATTTTTGAAAAAAATTTACCTTTAAAGAATCAGTAATAGTTTTCATGTTTTTTCTATTGTTTGCTCACATTTTACTTAGTTGATAGCTTTTATTTTATCATTTTCTTCTTTCAGTTAAAAGTTCCATGATATAAAATGAACATCATAAAGTTGGGTTTACTTTATACTATTGTTTTTAGATTCTTAGAAAAGAAACTTAAGTCATTGACTTGAGACATTTCTTATTTTCTAATATAACCATTTTAAAAGACTGTGGTTACAGTCTTGAGCTCTGTGTCTCTGTCTCTGTATGGGTCTGCCTCTCTTTGTTCCTCTATTTTTTCAATCTCTATGGCTTTCTCACCCAGACTACTTATGCTAGCGGAAGTAAGGTGCTGTGCTGTGAGAATTCTGTAGAGGTCCAAGTGATGTGGGGAAAATATGAACCCTCCATTTAACAACTGAAAAACTGGAGTCTTAAGTCTAATAGTCCCTAAGAACTGAAGCCTGCCAAGAAGCAGAACCTTCAACTCAGTTGTCTTGAGATGACTGCAGCACAGGTTACCTGCTTGAATGAAATCTCATCAGAGGCAACATGTTAAGTTGTTTCTGAATCCTGATGTATATAATCTATGAGATAATAAAGATTGTACTTATAGTGGGAATTTGTTCCGTAGAAATGGAAACTAATATAATACTCTAGCTTACATTCTCTGCCTTTTAATTGCTATGATCACAAAATTTATATTTAATTAAATTTAAATATGCAGTGTTTCAACTTGCTCTATTGTTTGTCTTCTATTTTTCTTGCCTTTGTTTTCTTGCTTTATTCATCTCTTTCTGTCTAGGGATTGTTTATTATTACAGTTTATCTCATTGGATATATCTATATATCTATATACCTCTTGCTCCATGGTTTAATATCAATGGTTTATAATAGGTCTTTAATTTTCATATATAAGAGCCTTACAACCCTATACTTCTATTCTCCCTTCTCATGCCTTGGGTTACTATCTTGCAGTTCCTTCTTCAGTATTATAAACTGCACAATATACTATTACTTTTACTTTATGCAATCAATTATCTTTCATAAAATTAAAAATTGGAGGAAAAATTGTTTTAATTTACTCACAAAATAATGAATTTCAATTCTATTTGTTGTTTTGTGTGAATCCTAGTTTCTAGCTTGTAAACTTTTTCTGAATTAATTTTGTTTAAATTTTCTTTAAGAAATGGTGACGGGCAAAGGTTCTTTCAGTTTTTATTTATTTACTTTTGCTTAAAAATGTCTTTATTTTGCTTTTTGTACTTCTTTTTCTACAAAGTAGAATTCTAGGTTGATAGTATTTTCCAGTATTTAAATGTATTGATGCATTTTCTTTTGGCTTGCATAATTTCTGAAGGAAGTTTGTCTATATATTTTTTCATAACAATATTATTGAGATCTAATTCACATACCAAACAATTTACCAGTTTATTGTGTAAAATGTAATGGTTCTTAATATAGTCATGAAGTTTTGTAATGTGGAAGCCATGGGAAACCTCCTGTTTGCTCTCTGAAGATTTGCTGAAAGTCAACTGACAAAAGGCAGATTAATAGGAGAAAAAGCATACAATTTATTAATGTGCACAGGGGGAAAATCACACAGTGATTGCCCTACCATTAATGGGACTCAGATGGTTATATACTCCTCTTTTTAGGAGAAGAAAGATAGGAAAGTGTGGGTGTTGTTAGGGGTGTTGTAAATTATTTTAGGAAAATTCAGTGGAAATGAAGTGCATAAAATATCCTGGAACAAAGTTTGTTGGGCCCACTGAGCAGACAACTTGTGACACAAGTCTCTAGAGATATGTTGATGCCATTAACTGTGTTCTTTCCCTAGTTTGCATTGGCCACAAAGAGAGGCAATCAGGTTTTATTCAGTGATGGAAGATGGAAAAGGAGAGTTCTGCTTCACAGATGCTTCCTCCCTGGGCAATGGGAGCTGTGGGAGTTTTACAGAGTTGTGCCCAGGGCAGGGAAGGTATGCAAGCATGAACATGATAAAGTTTCAGACACACAGGTGTAGTACACAAAGGTACTTATGTCACATGTACAAAAAAATGGCAGCAATTTTTTTTCTACAGAGACTTTTAGCATTAGAATGATATGCTAATGAACTAAGGGGAACTAGAAAATCACATGCTCTGAATGCGTGCCAGTCTGCACTGGTGCTGCAGGAGGTCTAGATCTCAGGTATCTGGTATTTAGGTTGGACTATCTGACTTCCTTAAGCAGCTGTGCATATAGGTAAAGAGACTAATACTTGTTAAAAGTTTTTCTTTGAAAGAAGAAGTAGGAAAACTGTGCAAGGATGGCTATGTGCAGGCTGGGTTCAGGCTACATGCAGGTCAGAATTCTTAAGCAAGCACCTGATTAGGCTTTAACTACCAAGGAAGAGAAGAGGAGGGGAGGGGGGAGAAATGAAAGGGAGGGAGGGGAGGAAAAGAAATAACTGACTGAACTGTACTGATTGGGCCATTCTGCCTGCATTGACAGATTTCAATCTTTATTCTTACAACATGAGTTTAGTAATGACAAATAAGAAAAAAGAAAAACAGAAGTAACTGCTTCTTTCTTTGGCAGGCTTAGACTTTAGGCAGATAAGGGAACTTGAGAGAACAACTTCATCCTGTGCTTTGGGACAGACAGAGGATTGAAAGGAGGAGAGGGGGAAGGTCAGAGAGATGTTGAAGCTTCTTCAGGTCAGCGTGTTAAAGCACCTTCTTTTGGAATATCCATTCCTAAGCCCCAATAGTCAACATAATCACAATCAATTTTAGATTTTTTTTATTACCCCGCAGAAGAGAAAAGATTTCTTTCCTCAGCCATTGCTAGGTTCATGGCTGAGACCCATTTAACAGAATACAAATTAAAAAGAAAAAAGCCCCTCAAAATTAATATAAATTGTGCATGGCAAAAGAGCTTTCAGAAATAAAGACCCAAAGAAACAGGTAAATTTGTGACTTTTTATGCTTAACTGTGATGAAGAGTAGACAGTTATGCAGACATATGATAGGACAAAAGTGGTATCATTTAATAGTAATAAAATAAGGGGAATTTGGCAAGCGTAATTTGTTCAGATTCTTCTTGGTGTTTCTGTGCCTTCGATGATAAGGATGTTCCTTTCCTTTGGAGTTTAGTAAGGGTATCTCTGGAATGAAGGTTTTATGACCTATGTTAAAGAAGTGCCACCTAGGTTTTATGGCCTACTTCAGGGGTGAGGACCAAGGGGAAGGTGTTTTCTCAAATTCCAAGGCACCATTTTTGAAGTAGTGTCTCCTGAACTCCATCACCATCAAAAGAAACCCCATATGCTTTAATTATCATGCCCCCTAGATTCCTCTTTCCTGAACCCTAAGCAACCAGTAATCTATGTTTCTATAGATTTTTCTTTCCTGAATATTTCATATAAATGGAACAATATAATATGTTACAATTTGTGACTGGCTACTTTCACCTGACATGTTTTCAAAGTTTATCTATGTTATAGCATGTCATCATTCTGTTTTTTTGCCAAATAATATTTTATTTTATCTATTTTACTTTGTTGCCAAATACTATTTTATTGTATAGATTTACCACATAATGTTTACCCATCCATTCATTTCAGACACCTGCATTATTACCACCTTTTAGCCATTATGAATAATGCTACAGGGAACATTTGTGTATACCAGTTTTTGTGACAGCATGTGTTTTTATTTCCCTTGTATGTATACCTTAGAGTGAAATTACAGGGTCAAATGGAAACCCCATGCTTAACTTTTTGAAGTTTTTTTCAAAGTATTTGTATCAATTTACATTCTCATCAGCAGTGTGTGAGAGTTTTGATTTCCCCTTCACATACTAGCCAACATTTGTTATTATCTGTTGTTCTGATTATAGCCTTCCTAGTGGGTAGAAAGTTTTATCTCACAGAGGTATGAATTTGCATTTTATTGATGTCTATTCAGAAATTAAAAATCTTTTCACATGCTTGCTGAACATTTGTAAATCATCCTTAGTAAAAGACCTATTCAAATCTTTTGCTCATATTTAAAGTTGGGTTATGTGTCCTTTTGTTACTGAGTTGCAGGTACATAGTCTTTGTACATTCACAGTTAACCATGGACTGGGAAGCTGCTGGAATACAACGGTACTGTGGAGCTGGGAAGAGAGGAAAGAAAGTAAGCCAAAATATCAAAAATTTTTGTTCTTACCAAGATTCAACATGCTTATTTTAAATAAAGTTTCTTTGGATTTTTTTTGTGTGTGTGCAAGTCTGGTTAATTTGCAGATCTCTTATAAGGTGAATTTGGAAAATTTTATGCCAGTGCTGTTGCTTTCACAAAGTAGTTAATTTTCAGGATTTTTTTTACTTAATTTTCTAGATATCCTGCCTATCATTTATTATTTATTGTTACTTTAAAAAAACTCCTGTACTCTGATTTATATGGCTGTGCAGTAAACTACTTGGAAACTTGAAGGCATAAAATTAAATATAAACATTTTTTATGCTAATGTTTTGTGTAGGACAAAAGTTAACATAGAGCATAATGGAGAATGGGGTTACTTATATTCTTTTGTATCTGGAAACTCACTTGAGAAGACACAGCCTGAGAGTGAATTCTCATTGTCTAGCACCTTTGTGGATTCAATTCTTCTTTATATAGTTTACATGTCATTCTTTGAGATATCAAACTGTTTTGTCAATCTGTAACCGTTCTTTGGGCATTCTTATCTCATTGCTTTAGTTAATGGCTCCTAAATCTATATTTGATTTATTTATATATTTGAAGCACATTTTTCTTTCTTGAATTTTACACATGTATACAGCAGAAAAGTCTAAACTTAATATGTCACAAATATTCTTTTTTCATATTTCCTAATGAATGATCACGTTGCTAGGCAAATTATTCAAATAAGAAAACCGGAAATTATCTATTTCTCTTAAACTTCAAATTAACTGAATTTCTTTAATTTCTTCTAAGTCAGAATTCTGCCCTAAATTTTTATATTTTTCAGATCATTGCTGTAGGTATAAGTAAGAAATACATTCAGTGGATACTTTAAATTCTGAATTCCAAACTTTTACTGATGTTTTATAATTTATTAGAAAGTTTATGCTGAAATTATTTTAATATTATGATAGAATTTGATGGGGAATTAGAAACCTGGAAACACATTCAGTGGATACTTTAAATTCTGAATTCCAAACTTTTACTGATGTTTTATAATTTATTAGAAAGTTTATGCTGAAATCATTTTAATATTATGATAGAATTTAATGTGGAATTGGAAACCTGGAAACATGAGTTCAGTGATAACAAAAACAGAAGTATTAATTTAAATTTTAAGATGACAGAAGTAAAGGGTTAAGAAATAAGACTGTTGAATTGGCTGCCCATGTTCAAGATTGATTTTAATAGTCAACTCTGGCTGTTAGACTTTTTATCTTTTTAGACTTTTTATCTTTGGACATTTCTGTATTTATCTAAATTTGCCTATTATTTTATAACAAGAAAAATATATGACTTTAAAGTTTTTTAACTTGCTTTTATTCTGATCATGAAATCATAAGTATATACATGTAAAAACAGCATCACATTATAAAGAAGAAAATAAATCAGCCACAAACAAATGTCTTCAACACATTTATTTTTAGTTTAGTATATTCACTCTGATATATTCACTTTGATATATTTTTGCATGAGTAAAACCTTAAGATGTTCCATTTTACTCATTTTTCAGTTTTATTTGTTTGTGCTTTCTTACCATTATTTTTATCAATACTTTGCTATTATATGATTAACATGTATATAACTTTGTCCAAGAAACAAACACATTTATATGAAAACCATGGGAAGATGTATAAATCAGGATTTATGGTTGATAAATCAAAGATCATATAAAAATAACTATTCTTCTGCACAAGGCAAATAAGTAGGTCAGAGGTAAAGGGAAAAAGATCAAATTATTTTGTCCCATGGGTGGAGAAAAATGTTGTCAATTTAGTAGAGATGATACCACTCTTTCTTTATTTCTCGTGCACTAACCCAGCATTGAACTCACTAGCTATGATATAGCTGTGTAACCCAGGGGGCCAGAGGACACCCACTTAAAAGTAGATTGATAGAAAGCAAAAATTCATTTTATTAATCATGTAACAACACATTGTTAAATAGGTCAAAATTAAACTTTGCATTGGACTTATTTGTAGTAGTGATTCCTTTAGCGCCAGGCTTTTGGTATTCTCGTACTACACAGCAGGGATTATCATCACAATAATTATATATGTATTCCCATGAGTTACATTCAGGCTTGCAAACACCTCGGACAAGCTGACATTCTCTTTTTCTCTGTGCAACGTCTGTTTTTCTCGGTGCAACGTTGTTTTTCTGTAAAACTAGGAAAAAGTAGCTACGATCATAAATCTAGATTTAATCTCATTAGATAGAGAGATGATAAAGTAAGCTATTTAAAGTATAAAGTTAATCCATTTTGTTTCTGAAACCATGCCAGGCAACTTTCTTGTGATGTTTCCTCCTATATGGTGGTACAATATAAATACTCATTTATACAACAATAGTTCATTTGCCACTAGCTTTTTAAAAATCTTTTTTTGTAAAGAGAACGTTTTAAAATCTATAATTTATATGTTTTCTCAAGAATAAAAGAAAAGTATAGTCTACATGTTTTGTGTTCTAAATAGCCATCCACCTCCAAATCTATCCTACTCCGTGATCTATTACAGAAAGAGAAAACTGAGTACCACATGTTCTCACTCATAAGCTAACCCTGAACAATTATCATAATACTATAAGAAAGGGATTGGCAGTAGTGGGGAACTGCCAGGGGACGGGAGCGGGGGCACACCTCATCAGCAAGGGTACCTGCATAATGAACATTTGTAAACCTAACCCTGAATTGTACCCCACATCTTTTAAATAAATTTTTTTTAAAAAAAAGAATACTTAAACATGCTAACCAGACTGAATTCTACATCTTGAGGAAAATTTTTTTCATTGTTTTATCATCTATCAGTTCTACTCATTTCTTCTTCCATGAAAAAAATAAAGTTCATATGGAGTCTCCTAACAATAACTTTTTAAAAATAAAACATTTGTAAAAACATTTTACCCTTTACATCTTTTCTTTATTAACACATATTACCTGATGGACCGCAAGACACAGTGAAGACAAAGATCAGGAAAATACAAAATATCTTCATTTTTGAGGTAGTTAGACTTGAGTAAAGTTGGGACAGAGCTCAAAAAGTCTGAGAGTTGTGCTACTCTTTGGTAAAAGAAAGATGAACTCTTGTTTTTATATCTTTCTCAGAGCGATTACAATTCTGATTAATGCTACCTTTCCAGATTGAGGGCATATTTATGCAAATATTGTGAAATAGCAAACAAGTATAATAGAGATCTTAGCTCTGTTATGATGCCAGTGAGCCAAAAATGAAGTTATTTTCATAAGCAAACAATGAGGCTTAATAGTCTTGGTTACTAATTAATTGAAAGCATATAATCCACATCACTTTATGCTTTTTAAAATAGTTATTTTTAAATTGTGGCATACAATTCAGAGTTAAGTATACAAATATTCATTGTGCTGGTACCCTTGTTGATGATGTATGCCCCTCCCCAGGCAGATCTCGACTACTTTTTAAAACATTTTTTTATGTGCCAGACACTATTCTAAGCACTTTATGAGAGTCAACTATAATACTCACGACAACCCGGGCTCGGTGGCTCAGCCAGTAATCCCAGCGCTTTGGGAGGCTGCAGTGAGTGGATTGCCTGAGCCTCTGAGTTCCAGACCCGCCTGGGAAAATTGGTGAGACCTCATCTCTACAATAAATCTAAAAAAAAAATTAGCCGGGCTTGGTAGCGCGTGCCTGTAGTTCCAGCTACTTGGAAGGCTGAGGCGGAAGGATCGCTGGAGCCCAGCAGGTGAAGACAAATGTAGCACAGAAAGATTATGTAATTGTTCCCAAATTATACATGTGATCATTGGTAGAGCTGAGTTTAACTGTAAAACTATATGGTGACAAAGCTTACACGCTCCACCTCCATTCTCCACGCTCTCACAACTGAGTAATGGGTTTGCATCATAAGTAGTTACTGTCTGCACATATGGCCTAAGCCCGATACTGCTTCTGGAATTCTATTTTTCTACAAACAGAAAATATTTCTACAATAGTTTTAGTACTGTTATATTAAATTTTTTTATCGTTAAACTGTAAGAATAATCAGTATCATTTTGTATACCACGTAATGATGACTAAATCATGAGATTATGACAGTCAGAGAAGAAAGCAATGTGTTAAGCATCTAAAAATCACTGGATTTATGTAGAGAAAACTAATATTGACACCTGACCTTCGGTTTACCTGCTGTATTTTTGAGATAGATAAAAGTATTCACCTAGTTAAGCTTTAAGGATTCTTTCCTTGAAGGCCAGATTGGCAGAACCAGCCATGTTTAGAGTTTTGTGGTTTTTTTTGAGTTGGAGTCTCACTCTGTTGCCCAGACTGGAGTGCAGTGGCCGCTCCCGGCCACCGCAGCCTCGACCTGCTGGGCTCCGGCGATCCTTCCGCCTCAACCTTCCGAGTAGCCGGAATCACAGGCGCGTGCTACCACGCCCGGCTGATTTTTTGACTTATTGTAGGGAATGAGGTCTCGCCAAGTTGCCCAGGTGGGTCTTGAACCCGCGGGCTCAGGCAATCCACTCACCTCAGCCTCCCAAAGCGCGGGATTACAGGCTGAGCTACCGAGCCCGGCTTAGAGTTTTAATAATAAGAATCAAATAGATAGCTCCAGAAAAAAGTATTTATAATTAATTGACACATTAACTGAAACAATTTGGCCCATGTTTGTAAACCAAAGGATGGATGTGTAAGCCAAAAAGATATATCCTTAAAACTTAATGATTTACATCCTAACTCTCTGTCATTGTATTATGAACATTCTGGTTCTATTTTTATAGTTATTTGTAAATATATGGTAAATTATTGTTAACTATAGTCACCCTGTTGTGCTACCAAGCACTAGACTTTATTTCTTCTATTTTTAACCGTTCCCTTTATTTCCCCTCCCCATTACTCTTCCTGGCCTCTGGTAGTGAGAGAGGAGATAGTCAGAAACTGGTTAGGCAGACTGAAAGGGAGGGTCTCAAAGAGACTTAACACCTGTAGAAATGCCCCCTGTACCATCCCCATTATATAATTGGTGGTTGAAAATGTGGTTAGTGTGGTTAAGAACATTCTGTCAACCTAGGTTGTACTGCTAAAAGGGACTTTTTGCTGCTTAAACACAGGCGCAGTAGCTTAACTAGATATTCTATCTTGACCTTAGCTTATTATAATATTAACATTGTGTTGCAGTTTTACCCCCTGCGTGGGCTTTGCTGTGGTACTTATGGGTAATATTCAAGAGGGAGTAACTTTGGTCAAGGACCTGCTTGCCCAAAAAGGATTGGGTCTCAGGAAATAAGGGGCGAATGGGATGTAAATGAGAGAAATAAGATAAGATTAAAAACCACACACAATACACAAAACTCCTAACAGTGGATAACCCACTTCGGGCCCCCTCTTGTTTTCTAGAGAGCTTTGTTGCTTAATAAACTCCTTCTTTCACTTATTTTTTTGGTGTCCATGTTCCTTAATCTTCTTGGTTGTGGGACAAAAACCCGAGGTTGATGGTTTAAGCTGACAATGGAACTCAAACCTCCTGCAACAGTAGCCATCATTTTACTATTTCCCTGAGTTAATATTTTTAACTCCCAGGTATGCATGAAAATATGCAATATTTGTTTTTCTCTATCTGGCCTATTTTACTTAACCCAATGTCCTCCAGTTATAACCATGTTGCTGTAATTGATAGTATTTTGTTATTTTTATAGCTGAATAATATTTTATTGTCTTATCCTTTTTTTATAACTAAGAAACACTTAAAAATGCAAAAATTTTGAAAATAAATCACTTCTGTGAGTTTCTGTTTTTAGGAGTATTTAGAGAAATCTTGAAGAATAGTAGTCTCTAACTCTTCCTTTCATCCCAACCAAACTTTTTTTCTAATTTAGCCTGAATCTTCTTTGATATTCCAGTAAATGAGGAAACTATTGCATTTTATGTATTACCACTAAGTTCAAGGAGAAAAACAATTTCTCACGTGGAACTTTAGCCTGAATGGTTGCTTATGCCCTGTGTTAAGTCATAAATGGTTGTTAAGTGCAGTGACATAAACCTTGAATCTTAAATCAACTTTGAAGAGAACCACTATAATGTATGGTCTGGCATGAATATATTGTTCAACATCTGTGGACTTGTGAATTCTTTCCTTATTTTAATGATACATTTTAGTTTACCAAATCATTTTCTTGTATTATCTTATTACAGATGTCTTCTTTTTAAAGAAACACACATGAAAGTATTGATACTGAATAATTTTCCTACAGTCATACTACAGTTATTGCAGAGACAAATTTAACTGCCTAATTAATAATAATGATAGTAATAATAATAATAATAAAATCTCAGCACACCAAATATGTTTATCTAAGTGATTCAGTTCCAGTAATTACCTCTTCCAATGTGTAGGGAGGTGTCTGCTTTCTGTGCTTTCAAAAGTGTCCATAAGCTCAGAGATGTAGATTTAGTGTATACATGAAGGGTAAATGGTAGGAAATAGGAGGGGAGGATAAAGGAATAAGGACTTAAATTCACAGATTAATATATGGTGAGAAATATATATATGAAAGCTATAGCAAAGTAGGCAGGGCCATTATAGCTTTATTTTTTTTTATAGTGATTTCAAAATGCTATCTGAAACAATCTCCAGTAACCATTATTAAGTAGATACTTAAACAATGGTTTTTAATAAAAATATATTATGTTGTTACTTATGCCTCTTCCTAATATCTGTATTTATTAAACCATCACTTAATTGGTAGTTTGAAGAAAATTGGTATTCTCTAATTCTTAAAGTCGGAATACTTTTTGGTATTTTATAATCAGCAAGCAATATCAAACTAAAGAAATGAATGTGGTAATTATAGCTTTAAATTTTAATTCTGAAAATAGAGTACTGGTTATCTGTTGTGGTGCATCTTATTATTATTTGCCTTCTCTTCTTACTTTTGAATTTTAATATTATGAATTATAATTCATAATCATAATTAAATATCCATTTCACGCATTTTGCATATGATCCTCTTCTGTGTGTCAATTCAAATTTTACCCATAGGAAAACTCATTTCCTCATGAAATCTATGTTTTTTTTAAACCTCACTCAGTTGTAATCTTTCCTTTTCTTCAGAAGGATTTTGAGTATGTGTATGTGTATGATATGTGATATTTATATCAATCATTTTGACTATATCATTTCTTTTATTTACCCAGAATCACAAAGTTGATTTTTCCTGATTATTCTTGTCTCTTCTCTTACAGATTATCTTATTAGAGAAAATTTTGAAGACTTTTGTGTATATGTGTGTGACTAATAACTCTAATAGTAACCTTTTTTTTCAAATTATCTTTTTTGGTTTTTCTAATTTGTTTTTATTTGAAATTATCTTGGTCAATTACTGACTTTTTGTTTCCTTATACATCAGTATTGTTTAGTATAATTGTTATTATTTTTGCGACTACTACAGTTATTATTTTTAATTGACACATATCACTTTAATGTATACCCCATAAGGGCAGGAATTATGACAGCTTACAATAAAACCTAAGACAGAGTAGACATTTAATAATACTTACTGAATAGAGATTAAAATAGAGTTCGAGTAACAGTTGTAATACCCACCCTTTATCTATCTAGAATTTTTTAAAAATGGCATTTTAATAAAAATATATGACAGGATACTTCATTAAGTTTCTAACCCTAAGAGATCAGAGACTAATTCATTAGAAATTGTCATTGTATTTCTCTTTTGGGGGGGTGTGGAAGTTGCTGAGGGGGAACTAATGTTCTAAAAAATAATTGTAATTTACCTCTCTCTCTATAGCTTTATAAGGGAGAATAGTAAGATAAATATCTTAAAAGAATGTAAAAACCATTCCCGCAGGATACCCTTTATAAACCTACTTTCTCTTTTTACATCTTATATTTAGCACAAAGCTTGATTCTCAATAGATAAAAATGGATATTTATTGAATATTTACTAAATATTGGTTACTGCCTTAGCATTTTAAATGTATTATCTCAATTAAACATAAAA